AGGAACCCGAAAAACAAACGTTGATAGCCGGCCCCCGGATAGATTGAAGTGTACGCGTTCCGATGCGCGACGCGTAGGTCCCGAGACGAACAGACCAGTTCCGAGTACTCCATGGGCTCGTTCCTGGCCGCCTAGTTGTCGTTCCTTCGCGTAATGGAAGTAATCCGACCTCGTTGAGAATATTTAACGGCTGGCCGCAATGATACCGTGCCACTTTCGCGACACTTCCTAGTATCGTTGTTATGCAATGACACGCCGCCACCTCGGGACTGTTTCAATGACTGCAACGAGCCGTTAGATCCCGTCTCGCGTCGCCTAGAAACCCTGTCTGCGCCGCGTGCCAGGACAGCCCACAACGCGTCCCGACGACGCGACTATTTTCAGAATACTTCCCGATTTTTGACGTCAGCGGCCGCCCCGTTGCGTCACCGAGGAGTAGACAAGTCTGGTAGATGACCGCGCTACGACTGCTTTGATTGCACACGAAGCCGAGTACCTTCGAAATCGCGGAATTTTTTAATCGAGTTTGCAAAAGATATTAGCCAATGTCTTATTCCTACCAGTTTCCTTCGAAGTCCTCACCGTTCGCCACTCAATAAGAACAGCTGCGAAAGAACTACAAGCGCCGTATATTCACAGTCATCACAGACATTGATAGGCACACATGCAAGAGCAAAGGAGACACTTGATGCCTGAACACCAAGTTACGAAACCCTAAATTACCGAAAAGGCGGCGCAGTTACGATACTTGAGACTAACTTTCTTGTCGCTGCTTCGTTAACCCTAGGTCTCCTGGTCTTTCGTCTGATCCCACACGTTTCTAGATTGCTCTGTTCTGTTCCTGTTTCTCATCGGCATCTACCAATGCCGATCATTAACCAAGAAACCTACATTTACGAAGAGTTATCTAGATGCCTACAAGTTGACAAATTTTACTGTACAGTCAATTTAATCCTATAGCCGCAGTTACTATCGAAATCTCTTTCCATTTCCTACAGATCCACGTAATTTAAGCTTGATCAAATTTCCTGTTCGCGGCAGGAGTAATCGAACAGCCAGCTCGAAGCGAACCACCCGGTACGTGATTCCTCTAACACCCTCCCACGCGGTTCACGCGCGCCTCGACGCTCGTGGAACGGCAACTCCCTCGTGAATTTTTTTAATCCGATTCGCCGGCGCGTTTGCGTGGCTGCCGCGTTGTTTTCCGCCGCCGCTCCTCTCCCTTCACCCCGCCCTTCGTCTCCGCGACCCGGTTGTTCGTTTAAAATGCAAACTCGCGGTCCGCGGGGTTTTAAAACACCCGCTATACCCGGATTTCGTTGCGCCGCAAACTTGGCCCGTCCCGTGCCTCATACGGATTTATGGCACCGCTGACGTGCTTCTATTCTGGAGCTCATCGCCGGAGATTTTCCGGCGCACCTCTCCTTTCACCCTCGTCTGCTCCCTCTGTTTTCGTCGTGGCTTTTTGAAAACCGTGTTGGGACGGAATTAAGTGAAGAGAGAAAGAACGTTCGACTATGCGTTGTCGACATTTTCTTGTTTCGAACGCGTCGGAGCGCGGAAAAATGTCACGATTCGACTGGGCAATGTATCTTAATTTTCTCGAAAATTCGCGCGATGTCCCGTTCATTTTTTCTGCGTATTTTTATACGTTCGTGCGACGAATACCAGAGTACAATGTTGGTTTCATGACTGAAACAACGTTCTAATGAATGACGTAAGGTAATTACTACTTTCGATTTTATGTACCCTTACAATTATTTCTTCATTCCATCTCCTTGTGTAGTTTTGGTAAGTCTAGCGAATTTTATGGTCAAGCTCTACTTCTTCAGTCTCTGCGTCCTCTGCGTCTCGCAGGAAAACAAGTCAGTATACTGATGATAAAAGCAAAAGTCCTATCTGGCGTTATTCGTAGCGGGTAAGTGGCCTTAAGCGGCCAATTGAGTTTTGATTTGACTATGGATGAAGCCGATCTCCCTTCTTGATACCATAAAATCTGGCCTTTTGTGCGTTTAGCACCGACGCACGTGACGTTCTATAGGACACTCGTTCCTTTCTCCGTTCTTCACAGTCAAGACCACTCTTCTATTCGTAGCGATATTCTTTGATACGACTCTTCGTTATCTCCAACTCCTTTGCCAGCAGTCGGATCCTTGAGGAGTCCTTTGGTCAAACTCTTCACCCTCTGGAGGGATTCGCGAGTACGTCCCAGAATTCCGCCAGTTCGTTTAATCTATTTACGGAGCAAAAGTCGCCGCGTCAAGTATGAATATTTATCGCCGCTTGGTCGTTCGAAACGAAGCACCGAGTGTGCGAGGGGTCGAGGAAAAGGTGGCCGCCTCGAGCAAACGAACCGCGCCAACCGCACGCGCCTTGTCCGGGATTCCGCGTCCCATTTGTCGACCGGCCGTTCCAAGCGAAAGGTGGCCAGAATTCTCGTATGTCATCCCCGGTGTCGATCCTTATTCGGTACTGCGGACTGGATGACCAGAGATCATTACAGATCTCAAGTTTCGTGCGCTTGACTAAGGGTCCTTGAAGCTATGGGCATTTATCATTAGGGTGGGTCAGACTTTTGGCGACAAACTGTATCTGATTAACTATCATAATTCAAATAGGGGTTAATAACAGAGAAATGTTTCTAGGTGGTTACTCATTAAGGAGCTATTACTTAGAAGAATTTCAGTCCCTCCATAATAAGCCGTAGGCTATTGGGACACTCCTCACTTGGGCTCCTGATTATGCAGTCGCTGATTGGCTCATCATAGATTGCCAATTTATCAACTTTATGTGCTTCTCCATTTACTAGTAATCAGCTTCTACACCGCGTACCAAGCAACTTGGAGTAATTAACCTGGCAAACGTCTCTCGTCAAGTAAAAAGTCGTGTGAAGCGGAGTACCAAACCGAACCTGAGATGCTAGTTGTCATAGAATGGAATCTTAAACCGGTATAGGTGTTTGAGCTTGACACGGGTATAGACAGATCCCGTCTCGCACAGCTATGCGGCTAGACTATATGCTCGTTATATGTCAATACACATTGCGTGACACGGCCATCCGTAGGCGACAGAATGCCGGGCTCAATGCTTGGGCGTATTCAACCGTGAAACGCACCCCAACGCGTTTACGTAAGCACACGAGAAGACACACACACCCCCAAGTAGGTTAATCTCCACCTGTTTCGATCGAACCGGTTATCTCGGAAGGGTGGACGTCGCCTAATACTGAGAACTCTTGGAACGTCGACGATTACCTCGGGTTCAAGTGATCGAGGTCACGATCGTTACCTTTGATTTTAGGGATGCATACGTTTCCGCTCTAAAACTTTCTATTTCACGAATATACTAGACTTGGGACGATCGCCACTAAACCTGGACATCTATTGATCATAAATTGGAATTCGATTTTTTATTTATATTCGCGATCATTTCACAGCCCATACAAGGTAACTTAGGATTCTATCCTCCTGATTTGGAATGCATTTTATCAAATTCCGTTTGTTGGCAACGAAGACGCAGTATCGGTACTGTCGCCCACATTCCGTTTAATTACAGGACCCGGTCGTTTGATCGGACCGTATTATCTTAAGGCGGCGGTCACCTAGATATCAGCATTGTTATCCTGCCTGACCGCAGCCACTTAACCGAGTTGTAAGCCCCCACGAGTTCAACTTTACCCTTCAACAGGTGTTCAGGGAAAGACAATAATGTCGCGCATGCGCTCGAAACTTCTTAAGGTCGCAAAGTTCGTCCGAACAATCTGACCGCGGCCATACCTATGGACCGTAACGGTATTCGCGCCGGAGTTAATTGAGTTTCTGAGGAAGTTGAATTTTTTCCACGAGACGAACTACTGTGACGGAAACTTTATGTAGATGCCCACGAAAGAGCGTCGTGACTTATTTCGCACATAAATCGCAAAGAAATATGAATTTTACTATGTTCTAGATAATTCGATATTGGAGTTTGTACAAAGCTACAATATTAATACTAAGTACGAAAAGAAGGAAATAGAAGAAAGCAAAGCTCCTTCGATTTCCTGATCTGACTATGCCAGACAATTATTTTAAAGGGGAGAGTGAAGCTAAAGTGAGAACGCGACCGTGCAGATGGACTTACTGGGTCAGTCCCGTTTCCTCTTGGCTAGTCTAATGCAAGAAGAAGACGATCGACGTTTCCGTGTCAGTCCTCTACTCTCTGCATTCCGTTGACAAAGCTAATCTCGGACCCAACTAGCCAACGTCTAACCGATGAGGTATTACCCTCAGTTGCGTTGTGTTGGGACCTATGACTCCGCCAACAAGTATATCTTACAGGAGAGGGTTCTGATCCGGAGATACTTCTCTTTCTCTCGAAAAAGACTAGGTAGAGGACTGCAATCGACCTTGCAGTCCATCCACGCGGTTGAGCATATTGCTTATAACAATATCTAACTTCTATTTCTTAAACTAATTGAAAGCATGTGAATTTTGCGTTTTATATTCGATCGTTTGAAAATGTAGCGTTTCCATCTGTTGTTTTTTTTAAATTATTTTGATGTAGTAACATGTGCGGGTAATAGTGAGCGAAAAGTTTGAAATTGCGTTGGTATTTTGCCTGGCAGCGGCCTACATTACCGACAGGCGGTACAGATTCGAAGAGTTCTAGATTGCCGACAGCGTATAACATAAGTAGTTGTCGGTAACAGAATTGCAGGAATCTGGTAATACCCGGTGGAAAAATAGGAACCTTCTTGCCTGCAATGCTAGTTCTATGTGACTACCTAGATGTCACTGAAGCGAGTACATACAGCCTTCTCAAAGATAGATAATAAAAGTGCGAAATCAATAAAATTAATTGTTAACTGTAGCAATGTAACTGAGATATAATAATTTTGCAAATTGAATGGACTTGAATAAATAACGCGACGTATTTCCATTTTTCCAGAGCCTTTCCCTGAATTTAACCCGTCTATCTAAACTCTGAACTGAATTTTAAATTGAATCTTACCTTGATTTCAGGCATTAAATGGCGCCGAGGGCACGGTTCCACCCGGTAGAGTGTACAAGAAGGTTGCAATCGTGGAGAACTTTTTCGACATCATCCATGCTGTCCACGTTGATCTCGAGGGTCGTCCAGGAAAGCATGCAGGTCAGAAGAGGACGTACAGGACGGTAAGTCTCAAGTTAAATTCCTGTAATATTAGAATACAGCGGCGCTGACAAAAATTCTCATAGTAGCACTTCTAAGTCATATCTGAAATCTTCAATTACCGTAAACATTGGTAGACCTGGTAGATGATTGCGAGGAAGGGAATTTTCAAGTTTCCCACGAAAAACCGAAACACATTCCTTATTTGACTGCAGGATCTGCCCAAGACCAGAACCACTTTCCACTTTTCTGTATTATTCCTTGTTGCCACGAATATCTCCATTCCTCTGATATACGCGTATGTCCTCTGTATATGCGTACACTGAATGCTGGGACCCTTGGACACTTGTACTCTTCATATGCCAAAGATTGATCACGGATACTACAGAACACACAACACGACAGATCACAGAATAAGCATAGCATAGATAAACCACAGCGCAAACACAGATCACATCGTAGCACAGGTCACCTTGGTGGTTCGTGCTATGCTGTAGCACAAACCACCGCGCCACCACAGATGACATCGTAGCACAGGTCACATCGTAGCACAGGTCACCTT